ATTATTCTGTTCTGCCTGGAATCAAACCCGGGATCTCTGGCATAGCAGTCGATCTCGTGCGCTGCCTGCTACGCCACGCTCGCACTCAAACTCGCGCTCGCATTCTAACATAATCAACAATAAAATCTATTCCATTTAATCGATACCTGTATGATAGTTGCAATTTGATCACTAAATACGTCGAACAGTTTGACGTCTTGTGGAATTCCTGGCACTTGATTTGGACTTCCCGGTCCTCCTACACCATCGGATCGTTGACTGAAGGCTGCAAGTCGATCAATCAATGATATAATTATGTTTTTAACATTTACTCCATTTTGCAATTCTGCACACGACTTCAGAAATGCATTTAACGTTTGTAAATGAAATTCATCAGGAAAGACCTAGATACAAATAAAGTAAAAGACATTAATTTTTTGGATCATTGTTATTTTTAAAATAAAATATTTACGATACATATAAAGATTTACTTGAATTATACACTCCATAAGATATTCCTGTGCTATTGCATCTCTACAACTAACAACTTGCTCCAAGATTCCCGGCAGTACAAGCTGAAAATAGATTTGTAGTAAAAAATATTTCATAGTGTTAAAAACTAAATTAATTATAGTTAAAAATAAAAAGATGAAAGTGTACCTTTTTGTATTTATCCAATGTTACAGATTCCAATTGACTAAGTCGTACAAGATTTGTTCCGACTAGAATCCGAAGCTCTTCCCTTTCCCTCTCTCTTCTTTCTCTGTCCCTACTATGACCTTGATGTTGCATACGTACCCACAATTTATTCATTTCTGCAAAATTCATCAGAACGAAATCTATGCTGTCACGAACCTAAAAATAAAATTGCAGAAGTAAACAGTGTGCATGAGGAAAATTTTATTTACAAAATACATACAGTTCCATCTTCTTCATCACCCTCGGTGACATCTGGCAAGATATTCCTTGTGCATTGCAACAAATAATTCCTTAAGAATAGACCACGCAGTGGATGTTGCACGCCTCTACACATTTCTACAAGGTCTCTCAGAAGATCTCTTTTCAAACCAGGCGTTGTCTTGATATAAACCAGACCAACAGTGATAAGTAAATACCTAGAATATTAATCAGAACATCACCTTTTTCAATAAGAAAACAACAATGCAATCACAAAGCAAATACATACAGTCTAGGTACGATATTGCCAACATATTGTACCAATTCATAGAGATCTGTAACTTTTCTTCCTTTTTGAAATTCATCCAACAAATAAAGTTCCAAGTGCCGTAATTCATCTGTGATTGCCATATCTAATCATAATTGTTATAAGAAATATTTACAATAAAATATCAAAATCAACTACTTATATTATAGTTCAAGCTCTATTATTAAATAATTATTAAGGATACACAATTCATAATAGCTTTTTGGACTTAGAAGGGAAGTTCTAAGTTCTCCCAACATGGTAGAGGCATGTTTTAGAGCATCCATTAATTTGGATTTGTCCAGACAATGTTTCATCTGAAAAGCTTGGACTTTTACCACTCCAATTGCATCTTCTAGCAATTTCTCCTGTTCCTCCATTCCCGTTATACCAGGTGTCATTGGCTGCGAGAAAAACAAAGATACCTACCAGGAACACCAGGTAGTACCATGCTAGGTAAGCCATCCAACTCAAGCATGCACTACAGATGCAATGAAAATACATTGTCGAAATAAGGAGACTCAATCTACCCATAAAATTAAACACTGACAGTTAAAAACAACTCTTCAAACATAATGCCACGTGATACATATATTTGTCTGCAACTAATTCTAATATAGAAATCTGTTTATTAAATCATTAAAACTTGACGATTTCTTAAGGAACAATTGTTTTAATCGGGACAAACACTGCAAATTATAATAATGGGCTATGTAGTAATGCTTATTAAAGTATAATAATAAGACACACACACATTCCTCTATGACTTACGATAAGCGTTGACTAATTCGTACAGAAGTAAAAAAATTAAGCATTTATGTCTATATTATTGAAAGTCTCGATGAAATATTCTTTACAAACATATTCTCGACAAATATAACCTATACAACGCTAGGCTTATATTGTTCGCGAGATGATTAGCACTACATGGATCGAATTTGAAGATTACTCATTCTTGCAAGCAAAATTGCGAAACATGCTTCTCAAAATTCTACGATTCTCACCATTTTATTGTGAAAAGAAATACACAATTATTCGTCGAACATACGCCTCGGGGGCTCTGTTTGACTGGTTTGACAAGACATCAGATATGCCCGACTCCGCCAGAGTTCTGTGGAAGTCTGAAGTGTCTGAACACACACTTATGAATCAGATACATAAAATAATCACTTAACCGGCTCATTGAATGTTTTTTTATCGTTGCCACTTACTTTTTTTATACATTTACATGTACACAAAAACTTAAATTTGAATACAAATAGGAACAAAATTTAGATATACACGAAAAATTTAATAAATATCGGATTAGAACATAAAAAACGAGAAACAAGTGCAAAATGATATAAACTATTACTTTATAAAGATTATAAACTATTAATGTTTTTTAACGCTTTCACAGGTATTACCGTATCACAACTATTCTGTTTATTAGGTAATTTAAAAAAATTGCAAAAATTGCAAAATAGAGGATTTTTCGATTCAGTTTTTCATAAATAATACATCGTATGTACATGCCGGTTCCTCTGGCTGGTCTGGATCACCCTGTACAAGAAAATGGAGTAAGAAAGGAAAAAAAAGCAGTGTTATAATAAATATATAACCAGACTTTTGTTAAGTACGAATATATTTATTGTAACCCAATGTACACAGGGCTACGTCTGATTATCCAAAGAGTGTGGATTTGTAGGAGTCTGCTCCTAATGAATAAATAATCTTTCTGTGAATCAATGCCAACAATAGCGGGGCAATTGTGTAAAGTGTAAAATATTATTTAACCTTCAGCGATTTCATATATATATCCAACTCGTCTTCAGATTCATTCTGATCATTGCACTCATTACATGGAAGAACAGTTTCAGGAGTTTCCGAGTCAAAATACTTTTCTTCTTCATCTTGATTTCTCAAGTCAACGTTATCATAAGCTTCATTGTCATCTACAGTACTGAAAACAAATGATAAAAATACATATTAATGCAACTGTTATATTTAAATATCTAAAAAATGTGTATTTATTATTTTTAGTTATTAAAAATTATAAAATAACAAATGGGACAAATGTTTTCAATTTTACTTATTCCAAAAACTATTCTATACAAGATAAATGTTATAATTCGAGATTAGACCAGTGACAATAAATCTAATTAAGAAAAATCCTATTTTCGGCCAAAGTAGTACTTAAATATTTAAATATTTCGGTGTGAATTTATATACATATCAAATTCTGATGATGAATAAATTTATATACATATCCAATTTATAAAACGTAACATTGTAAACTTTATCTTTTATGTTTGTGTATGTGTGTGTATGTGTGTGAGCGCGCGCGCGCATGTGAGTGTGTTACTGTACTTATAAATTATGAAAATTTATTATAAAAGCAATGTTAAGATAATATGATGAACTAATGAAGTTTTTATATTGAAAAATATATTCTACAAAAACGTCCATAACTTTATAGACCTTTTATATTATATTTATTGATTAGCACAACATATACCTATAATCAAAATCTCTATCTTTACCATCCAGGAAACTCTGATACATGTTTGTAACAAATTCTTGTCTAAGTAACTTTATTTCTTGGCTTGATATTTTATGTATTTTATTGCTTTGTAATTTCTGGTCCTTATTTATATTTTTTTTTACTTCATTTATCTCTTCACCCCATTGCTGATAATTTTGTTTTTCAAGATTTGTCTCGGATGCTGTTTCAACAATGCTGTCTCTGATATTATCATTATCGTTATCACCATTATCACCATTATCTTCATCTGAATCATTTTCCTCTCGTACTTCGTCCTCTTCCTTTTGTTGAGATTTTAAACGATCTTCTAATTTATTTCTTTCTATGGTTTCCATAAGTATATCCACATAATTTACACTCTTTGTGTCAATACTGTCTCTAGCCTTCTTCTCCTCATCTGTCAAGTACTGTCCTACTAAGTGTTCATACAACAATGGATTTCTCTTCATCATTTCACATTCGCTAAAGTAATCTCCCTTTTCTATTAATGTCTTCAAAGCTTCGTATCTTCTGTTTTTGATGTCAATATGACGTGTAGAGTTATTGAAATACCTCTGTAACCTGTTCACATGATAGATTGTCTCGTAATCCTGACTTTTGTTGAAATACTCCAAGTGTTCCATCTTCATATATTGTCCAAATTTAGATAAAAATAAGCAGTGACTCTTCTCTAACAATTTCCTAGCTATGGCAAGCTTCTCCTCAAACGTTAACTCAGGTTCTCCTTTTTGCTGGCTCTTGAAAGTTGCTTTGCTGTTACCCACATGGTCCAGAAGCTCCTTCTTAAGGGTATTTTTTTCCAGGTCTAACATAGAACAGTCCATGCTTTGTTCATTGTTGCTATTCTTATTCTCATCTAGCAGAGGATCTCCTTTAGCCCCTAAAGTCATGTTTTTCTGCAAAGTGCTTGGTTCTTCAATTTTATTCATCAGAAATTCAGATCAAATGTGGAAAATGGAATTAATTGCGATTTGTGTACACTGACGAATCGGTGCTTTGTAATTGTATTGTTGCAGCAATTAGTACGATATAAGACTAATCTAGAGGACACACGAAAAATATATCTCTATTCGTCTCTCGTATCTGCCTCTTGCAGAATTACGTTTTGTTGCGTATTATTGTTGTTATCGGTGATAAACGAGATAAATACGTGATTCTCAGTATGTGCGATTAGTTTAAAAATTCCTTAGGACATTCGTCATCCATAGTCTGCGCTATGCGTCATTACAGTTATTACCAAGGGAAACATAACCTGCGAGTGATTGCCGTTGTGTGAACGCAGCGACAAAATGTAATACAAGCGGGAAGGAAACAATAAATACGGGCTTATTGATGTTACGTGCTTCAATATTTATAAAAATTCCTCGACAGGTATACGTTTTCTGAACCTGTTACGCTAATTTATTGTTTACTCATGTTGCATTAAGTCAACCTCTTATCTGTTCCTATAATTGATTATCAATCGAGTCAATATACTATATAGTATCTTTTTATAGTTTCGCATATAAGGAGTTTAATATACTATAAATTAATATATATTAATTAATTAACGAAATGTTGTGTTATTCAATGAAATAAAGAACATAAAAATTTCTTTAAGTAAAATAACATATATTTTATATATTTTATTCCTATATACTTTTTACTCTGTTTGATACATTTTCAATATATCTTTTGATATATTTTAACGAAATTTTTCTTTGTATTTTAACAAATATGTCTATAGCGATAGCGATACAGTAGTTTTACATGGTACAATAGTATTAAACGTTTATATATACGCTTTGATATAATTCACATTGCTCAACAATATTTTTTAACCTACTAAAGATAAAGTTTTCTTTATTACATATGTTGATTATAACTATAATTATAATATTATATATAGTATGGCAGATAACTGGTTGGATGATGTAGAGAGATGGAAGTGGAATTGGACTGAGTTATGTGGACATCGTGGAGGTATTAATCCAATGAATCCTGAAACGGATGACTTGAGTATATGTTTCCAACAGCTTTGTCTTCAGGTAAAGTATGATAGAATTTAATCTTGTATTACATGTGAAAAGCAGCAAGTATTAACGGCATTCACTTATGAAATTTATTTCTTAATTTTCAGATACCAGTGTTAGCTTTCTTAGCTATAATTTCTGCATACCACAGTGGGAAAAGAAGTACATCTTCATCTCAACAACAGCATATTTGTCATGTTATAAACTTAAGGATCTTAATTACAATATGTCTTGTGATATTGCCCATTATAAGAGCATACATTATTCTAACTAATACTACCATACCTCTGGGGCTTAACCAAGTGCAAGACTATAGCACGTCAGTTCCAAAAGCATTGGACATTTCCATTCACAAGAACATAAATTCATCATTAGAAAATGAAACAGATATCATAAGCAAGATACGTGATGGATTAAATCATACTCTTAGATTTGTTGAATCACTTTTTTCATCAGAAATTGGTGTTAAGGATACTACTACACCCCCCGCTATATTATATACCAATAATTATGAGTTGAATATTACGGATAAATTTACTTCTGCTAAACCGATAGATTATCTTGTAGCAGGAACTGAAGGTTTGGCATGGGTTGTGCATCTTTGTTTTATTTTAAGCTTGAAACGTGGACGAAATCTTAACCCACGTGGACCAGTATTAATACGAGCGTTAATATGTCTTTTGATTGTTGTTTCTGTGCTATTATTACGAAGCCACATCAATAATAAGTCTAAAGACGATGTATTGCCAAATTTATCATTGGGATTCAGTATTACCACAGTTATTCTTTTAATATTATATGCTATAACATTGATACCTGGTCCTGCTAGGCCGGAACGGATGAGAGCATCATTGCAGCGAAATGTAAGTTATCACATAATTATCTAGTGTTTTCATCAATCTGCGTTTCTGATTATCCGGAAATGCTCAAGTTGCAAAACTTATTTAATTGCTTATGATATCTAAAATTGTTGAATTAGTAAACATGCAGAGATATCACAGATCAGTGAATGTGTTTGTAGATAGGAGAACACACTCCACTACTGAGTAGTCCCACTTCATACGTACAATTTCCAGAGGAACACGATCCAAATTACCTTGGCATAGCTATGGAAGATACAACTATTATTTCTAAACTTCTATTTCATTGGGTAACACCGTTAATGGAAAAAGGCGTAAAGGGGCTAATAAATCATTCTGATGATTTGTTTGATTTACCCGATCAGATCGGTACCATTACAATCAGTCATAAAATTGATCAATGCTTACATAATATGGTAAACAAGAAGGCATAACATTTCGCAGTTTATTTATGATATAATTCTTGAAATATTTTCGTCACATATGAAAATCATTTTATAAATTAATTTCGTTTCATAATAATCTTGATAATCTTGTGAAATGTTACAGCCAAAAATGATAAATAATAGAATCGAAAATAACTTGGAAGTACCGCTTCATTCGAGTGTAAAAATAGTTACAAAGAAAGTGACACTGTTCTACTTGCTGCACAAATGTTTTGGCTGGGAATTTTATGCAGTTGGAATACTGAAGTTTATCGCAGATTGCAGCTCTTTTATGGGACCAATATTATTAAATAAATTAATTGGTTTCATTGAAGATAAGAATGAGCCAATCTCGCACGGATATCTATATGCGTCCCTTATAATATTGAGTGCTATAATTGGTACGAAATTAAGGTTTTTGAAATTTCTTAAATATTTGCCATGTGAATTACAATAATAATGTTTTAGGTGCCTTTTGTAATACTCACTTTACATTTTGGATGTCTGTTGTGGGCTTGAAGTTTCGTTCTGCAATTATTACTTTAGTCTATCGAAAAACATTGCATTCTTCTAATATCGATTTAAATCACAATTTTAATTTTGGCGAAATTATTAATTTTATGAGCACCGATAGCGACAGATTGGTCAATAGTTGTCCTAGTTTTCATACATTTTGGAGTATACCGTTACAGGTAATTATACAACGGTAATCTGAATCCGTTTTCTTTTCTTTTTTTTTAGTACATTAAGAAAGAATATATTGTTTTATATTGTGAGTAAATTTTTTTTATTGCTGTCTTTTAAAAAGAAACTAAAAATATGTATTTTTATTTTCAGTTATTCGTGACACTGTATCTTCTGCATAAGCAAATCGGAGTTTCGTTTTTAGCCGGTGTTGCGTTTTCAATAGTACTTATACCAATTAATAAAATAATAGCAAATAAAATTGGTAAAATTAGTACTAAACTTATGGAATATAAAGATCAAAGAGTGAGGTTGATGGGAGAAATACTACGCGGGATAACTACAATTAAAGTTAATGTATGGGAGGATCACTTCTTACGAAATATCTTCAGTTAGTATACTTTTACATAAATGATCTCTTGCTTTTTTGGCGCCTGCATCTAAACATTTCTTTTTTATGTAGAGATAAGAGAAAATGAAGTGAAATATTTACGAGGTAGAAAATATTTGGATGCACTTTGTGTTTATTTTTGGGCAACTACACCTGTCATTATCGCAATATTAACGTTTGCAACGTATGTGTTACTCGGAAATCAGTTGGATGCCAAAACGGTTTTTACCAGTATGGCGTTGTTGAACATGTTAATAGGACCTTTAAATGCATTTCCATGGGTTCTAAATGGTCTTACAGAGGCGTGGGTATCTCTTAAGAGAATTCAAAGAATGCTGGACGTATGTATATTAAGACTATAATATAGCATAAAATAATGCATTATTACATTTGGAGATACTTAGTTTCTACTTTATTATTTCAGCTCCCAGATATGGACGCGTCATTGTATTATACAGATATTACTCCTGACGTTGATTTATTGCTGCAAAATGTAACATTTACTGTGAATCGTGCAAGAAATAACGATATTGATACAAGTCTAAACATTGCGACTCCATCTTCAAGCGCCGACATTAAAAAAAGCGTTACATTCGAAGATGATGATGTTTTTACTTTATATAATATTAATTTATCTATACAAAAGGTATAAGAATAAATTTTATTTAAACTTTCCAAAATATACATACGTATATGTATATATATATATATTTTTTATATGTATATATATATATGTGTATATATATATATATATATATATTTTATATTGACATATTTTGTATAGGGACAATTGATTGGCATTATGGGCAAGATTGGAAGTGGAAAAACTTTACTCTTGGATGGTATTTTGGCTGAAATTACAAAAACCAGTGGGATAATAGCGGTTAATGACGATCACAAAGGTTTTGGATATGTAAAACAAAATCCTTGGCTACAACGTGGTACAATCCGAGATAATATACTATTTGGAAAACCATATGATCATAACAAATACAAGTAAGTATCGATTGTCGCTTAAAATTAATTCCAACGATAAATTTGTTTATGTCATGTACATTATAATTTGATATTTTATTTGCGATTACAACAGGAACATTTTAAATGCCTGCGCACTCACATCCGATTTGAATTTATTGCCTAACAAAGACTTTACAGCTGTTGGTGAAGCCGGAAACACTTTAAGTGGCGGTCAAAAGACAAGAATTTCCCTGGCTCGTGCTATATATGCGGATAAAGATATTTATTTGCTAGACGATATATTAGCGACATTGGATGTCAGAATTGCCAGATATGTTTTCCAGCATGTAATTCTGGGTTTGTTACGAAATAAAACTAGAATATTGTGCATGCATCAGACGCAATACTTGGTTCATGCAGATTTAGTTATCGAAATGTCGAAAGGAAAAATTATTAATCAAGGAAAACCGAGTGACATATTGCCCGATTTGGAAGACTATCTTTTGTTGTCAGATTCCGACATGGACATAATTTCCATAAAGGCACAACCAAATGAATTTAATCGATTGGAAAAAGACGAGATGGATCCATTACTTGACAAGGAAGCGACTGAAAAAGGGACAGTACATTTCTCGGTGTATACATGTTACGTCAAAGCCATGGGACGATACTTGGCGATTTCGATATTTTTATCTATGATTCTGATGCAAAGCTCGAAAAACATTACGGATTTATGGCTGTCATACTGGGTGACGCACGCTAATGCCACAGCAACTAATTCAACCGACACGTCCAGACTTGGAAAATTACAACTTTATTACGATAATTACGGTTTCCACGATACAAAATATTACTTAATAGTTTATAGCTTGTTAGCTACATCAAATTCTATTTTCACTTTAATTAGAGCTTTCATCTTTGCATATGGTGGAATACATGCAGCTGTAACAATGCACAAGCAACTTTTAAAGATAATTATGCGGGTGAATATGAACTAGAGATATAAGAATAATTATTACTTTGACTAAGAATTTATTATAAAAATATTGTTTCAGGCAAGAACAATATTTTTCGATATTCAACCGATTGGAAGGATCATAAATAGGTTCTCTTCCGACACATATACAATCGATGACACTTTGCCTTTTATTACTAACATCTTGTTGGCACATCTATTTGGCTTGGTTGCTACTATTATAGTTACAGCTTATGGACTACCATGGATTTTCCTGATATTAGCACCTCTTATACCCATCTATCATTGGATACAAAATCATTACAGGTAATATTGTAAATTCGTACAAATAATAAATATAATAATTAGTATTTTTATTAAAATTTTATTTCCAAATTATCTTCCAGGTTAACGTCGAGAGAAGTAAAACGATTATCCAGTATCACGTTGTCTCCCTTGTACGCCCATTTCAATGAAACTTTGAATGGCTTGACGAGTATTAGAGCCTTTCGTACTGTACCTCGCTTCAAACAGGAAAACGAATTACTACTAGAAGCTAGTCAGAAAACGCAATTTGCCTCTATAGCTACCGGTCAGTGGCTTGCACTGAGGTTACAATTGATCGGTGTTGCTCTTTTGGCCGGAGTCAGCGTCATGGCAGTTTTGCAACATCAGTATAATATAGCTGATCCTGGTTTGATCGGTTTAGCGATTACGTATGCGTTGTCTGTAACTGGATTGTTATCTGGAGTAGTGAACTCTTTTACTGAAACAGAAAGAGAAATGATTGCGGTGGAACGAATCAAACAGTATTTAGATAACGTGCCGACTGAGAATACAATGGGTACTAATCCACCTTACGCGTGGCCTAGTCAGGGTGTTGTAGAGTTTCGAGAAGTTGTTTTAAAGTATAGGTAATAGCTTTGAACTTTCGGTTCAGAGTAATATATGTTTATGATATTTGGAAAACATTATTTATTATATTTGCAGAGATCATTTGGTGCCATCTTTGAAGGAAGTAACATTTGTTACGCGACCAGCGGAGAAAATAGGCGTTGTTGGTCGAACTGGTGCTGGAAAGAGTTCATTGTTAGCTTCATTATTCAGACTAACAGAAATCAATTCTGGAAGTATATTAATTGATAACGTGAATATTCAAACGTTATCATTCAAAGCGTTAAGGTAATATCCATCAAACTTACAAAGAATTACCGCTGTTAATAATTATTTAAAAAATCATTCTAGATCCCGTTTAGCTATTATACCTCAAAATCCATTTCTCTTCTCGGGTACCATACGAGAGAACGTGGATCCGTTGGATCAATATACCGACATGCATATATACAAAACTCTCGAAAAGTGTAAAGTGCATTCTTTAGTTCATCGATTAGGTGGGTTGGGCGCAATCTTGGACGAAGGTGGCAGTAATCTCAGTGCTGGTCAGAGACAATTATTTTGCTTAGTCAGGGCTGTGCTACATAACGCTAAGGTACTTCTTATCCATAACATCGTTCAAAAAAGTTGAACATTCGCGTATTAACAATCTTGATACTTATCGATCGTCTGTAGATTGTCTGCATTGATGAAGCCACCGCGAATGTAGATCAGGAGACGGACAAATTTATACAGTCGACGATAAAATCTTCCTTCCAAAGTGCGACAGTTATTACCATTGCTCATAGAATAAGAACGATTATGCATTGTGATAGGTATTGTAATTTTGATATTTAAGCATTTGCTTACTTATAATCATTTGCAGATACAGAAAATCATTTTTTAAATTTAATTATCGCTAATTTTTGTCTAAAAACTTATTTCTCTTTTCCATTCAGGGTTTTAGTGATGGGGGATGGTGAAGTTCTAGAATTCGATGAGCCAAATTTATTGATTCAGAATACCGATTCCTACTTTTATCAACTGGCTAATCAGGAATTTTCAGATCAAGAATGATTAAGCGTATGAGGCAATTTGATTGTGTATAATGAGTGCATCTCTAGTATTATACATGGGATTATATAATGTGTATTGTGCGCACGATAGAATATTCCCAGAGAGAAGAATTATTTTTGTATGAATATGGCAGGATTACATTTTTTAAAAGAATAATCTAAGAGAATAATGTCTTCGAAAGCGAATATTTTTATTTATGACATTTAATGTATATTAATATTATGATTTAAACATTATATACATATAATTATAAGTAAATCTGAGATTTAATTACTATTTACATGAAAATAATAAGATTACTCATCAATATTTTCTATACAAATAAATATCCAGAGTAAATAAAAAATCGAACGTTTTGATCAGTCTCCTATAGCTTATACGATTTATAGATACATCGAGGGGATAATCTTGACCGAATTGATTAAAACTTTTATTTTAAAATATCGATTTCTCAGGAGTATACCTATATGTAACTGATACATCATTGTGTTTGTGTATGTATGTGTGCGTGCGCGCGTGCGTGAAAATATTTGAATTACCTACATTGCTTTGCATATTACTGCGAGTTCTGCTGGAGAGCAAGTTTATCTGAGGAACGTGCGGCTGGCGCGATTTATATCGTAATTAGAAATTCTCGCTGTTAAAGGCAAACGTTTTACAATAGTGTTTCGCGGAGTTAATTAAAGCTTCGTAGTGCGCGCACGTGTGTACGCTTGCGAGTTACATTTGTGTCTGTGCATGTACGTGTATGTATGTCTGTGTTACGTGAGCTCGAGAAGCGGAATGTATCCCGATGATATCCGGCATTCAACCATTCGACGTTTCTGTGCTTTCATCGTTGCAAGGCGGCGAAAACTAATGAGCTATAGCGCCGGCTAATTTGCTCCCCGTTTTTTAATTGCCCGACATTTAGCGGGATTATACACCCTGCTATGTCGACGAAAACGAGGCGTCTCACGCATTCACGTGCCGGCTGAATTATGAGAGTGCGAGAAAAGTATGAGCTGTTTTGGTCGGGAAACAAGCGTGATTCACGGCGCTAATGACGTCGTTCATTTTACACGAGCAGTCGGTCTTCCGCGGCTTTCTGCGATGCAAGGAACTCGTCGAGTAAAGCTAAACTCTGCTTGCTGCCGTGATTGAGAGCTATTCCCAATAGATATATGATTTTCTCGAAAAAATGAACGGACTCTGGAAGTTCGATATTGGGAAAATCACGTTTTCGGATTTTCAACTTTTATCGGTAAAATTAAAAGGAGTTATGTGAGGTAGTATTCGGAAAATATATAAGATATAATATTACGTTGCATATTTAATAGCTATTTAAAATTGATTTTAATTTAATTGGTCATTTTAGTTTGTTAATGTTGGAGATACAACATTCCAATAATTGTTCTATTGTCTACAATTTATATACATATATGTATGTATTAGGTCAATCGGAAAGTTCCGTCCGTTTTTTTGCAAAAAGTATGGTTTTAATTAAAAAACAAAATGAAAAAGTACCTCAATTAAAATATTGTCCTCGTTAGCGATGACTTTTTCCCATCTTTCAGGCAGTAACCGAATTCCGCGGCGAAAGAATGACTCATCTTTGGAGGCTATCCACTTAGAGACCCATTTTTCGACGTCTTCATAAGAATTGAAGTGTTCCTCTGCAAGTGCGTGTGCCATCGATCGAAACAAGTGATAGTCGGAAGGAGCACAATCTGGTGAATAAGCCGCATGGGGTAGCATTTCCCAGCGAAGTGCTTCTAACGTTTCCTTGACAAGTTTTGTGACGTGAGGCCGAGCATTGTCATGAAGCAAAATTACTTTATGCTGTCTCGTTTCATATTCTGGTCGTTTTTCGTGCAATGCTCGGCTCAAACGGATAATTTGTTCTCGGTAGAGATCCCCTGTGATTGTTTGATCAGATTTCAACAGCTCGTGGTACACTACACCCTTCTGATCCCACCAAATACAAAGCATTGCCTTCTTTCCGTGGATATTTCGCTTTGGCGTCGATGTCGATGGTTGGCCTGGATCGCAAATGGTTTTTCGGCGTTTGGGGTTGTCGAAATAGATCCACTTTTCATCGCCAGTCACAATTCGGTGCAAAAACTCCTTTCTTTGTTGCCTAGCAAGCAGAATTTCGCAGGTGGTTTTTCGCCTTTCAACGTCTCTTGGCTTCAGTTCATATGGGACCCATTTTCCTTCCTTGTAGACCTTTCCCAAGGCTTTCAAACGATCGGAAATAACAGATTGAGCACAATTTAATGCTTGTGCAAGTTGTTTTTGCGTTTGACATGGATCTTCATCCACCGATGCCTGCAATTCTTCATCTTCAAATGCTCTTGGTCGTCCAGAACGCTCTTTGTCCTCCACATCAAAATCACCACTTTTAAAGCGTCGAAACCATTCTCTGCATGTTTTATCGGAAGGAGCACTATCACCATAAACTTCTACAAGCATTCGATGAGCTTCAGCTGCAGTTTTCTTCCATTTGAAGCAAAATATTAACACTTCGCGCAAATGACGCTTATTTGGCTCAAATGTCGACATTTTCGATGCAGTAAAAAGCAATGTTATTGATGCAAACTTATACTTTTATATACTAAATTTTATTGACGGATGGTAAAACTAAAAAATTAAGCTTCGTTTAGACATTAGAGTTATCGACAGTTCTAGCTATAGCTACTCACCGCTAGATGGACGGAACTTTCCGATTGACCTAATAAATAGGTATTTACAGAGTGGATACTAAAAACTCTAAAAGATTTTAAGGGATGATTCCTCACACAAATTCAAGATGAAGACTTCGTATTATCACTACGTATCTAAAACGACTTAATTAGTCAAAGTTGAAAAAAAATTCGTTTTTCCCCAAAATTTTGAAAAATACTTATCTTGATCAAGCTTCTTCAACTTTGACATCCCGTATCATGAAACGAAGTCATTTCGAATATGAAAAGTTTTTGTCTTGAATTTGTGTAAAAAATGACTTTAAAATATTTAGGAGTATTTAATAGCTTAGCATTCACTTCTTTTGTGTGTGTGTGTGTATAAAAACGCTTATTTTTTTAAACAATTGACAAAATTAGATAACATCCAGGCTCAAAATTTTTCAAATTAAAATAAAAATGGCTAAAGAATTACGAATCAAGCGAGATGTTTATTGCTAAATTAAAAACTTTGTATATGTGTAATCAATAAAACACAATTAAACGGTTTAACTTCTATCGGATCTTTTCATTGTAAATACAATTACTTTTAAAAAAGTCAGTACAATAATTAAATATAAATTTGTTATACTTAAAACTATTATGAGAAAAATGTTAAAATTCTCTCTTACAATTTTCGCTCGTAAATTCTTATAGGTACAATTAGTAGCCGCATAGCTTTTATGTTGTAACAGTTTAGAAACCGTTAACGCTTTTTTATATTATTTTATTCTTTCTACCCCCATATTTATTTTAATTAAAATAAAAACAGTCGTGGAAAAACGTCTCGAGCAAAAGTCTGTTTATCGCTGCATTTTATAAGACGTCCGTCGCGAAATTATCGGCGCATAATTTAACTCTATGATAAGCTTCGCTTTTCAATCAATAAATTGTCTGTACTTTGCGATGAAAGCTCATGTGTCTCAAAGGAACTTTACGACTGATGATAAGTAAAAAGGAAAAAAAAAAGATAACACACGGTATGACAGAACCATTAGATTTTCTTTTTCTTTGTATGTTACTGTATGTTACATGAAAGTAACACGGCAGGAATACTTTTACAACAGGACATTCTGTAGTTCATGATGAACAGTGTCAGTAATTCACACAGTAAAATTAAATTTCCTCCTATCCTTATCGTTTTTTTCTAAATTTTTCATGTTTCTAATATATAATACATATTTCATTATTAAATTCTCCTGCTTTTCTCTCTCTCTCTCTCTCTCGTGTTAAACATAATTTAATCATAAAATTATCAATATATCTGTACTGTCTAAAAAAATTCATTCTTTGCATAACGAGATGTCACAATTCACAACGTATTTTGATTGTTTTCTGATAATTATACGCAAAGAGAATAACGTAATTATTTAGCAAGCTTTGTAAAGTGGGCAAGATATAATATTTGAACGAACGTTTGTCCTCAAAAGGCTAGTTCATTAGATTACATCATAGCTTCGTGAAATATTTGAAATCTCATCTCGGACGCGACGGTGGTTTGTTGTATCACGGACGCGATATGCAGGTCTTTCGTTCTTACGTGCCTCTCGGCAGATACTTGAGGTCCTGAAGTGTAGCCACTATACTATAGGGGACTGACTGGCTGACTACTCCAAAAGTACCTATTGAGGGTTCAACGAACATGCAGCCCTAGAGATCTGCACTAGAACACAAAAAATGAGAGCGAGAGCGAGAGCGAGAAAGAGAGGGGGGGGGGTGGTGTTCGCTTCTTTGATAGCTATCAGGCGTTATTATCCGATTCGAGTGCAATTTCATAGTAAAATGGTCGCAGATATTAAATCATAGGCAAGCGCAAATCGATAGGGTGACCACAGTATGCAGTAACATAATTACCATTTATTACCACAATTTATGTGACACGGACATTGTTGCAACGAACCGCTGCTCAATTAAAACTGAGAAACGCGACCATGTGTAAATTTATGCACGAAATTGGGCCAAAATATTTATTTTCAGAGAATGGCGAAGTACTCGTTACTTTTTATCTTTACTTTGTTATAATAACAACTTGGTAATAGCAAATTTTTTTATGATGGTCGGTAATATAATATAACACCAAAGTTGGAAAAGTTCAAATTTTACTTGTAACGGATTGAAAAAATCACTCATTACTAAAAAAAGTTCTAACTTTTTATTTGTAACTAGTTACTTTTATTCGTTACTTGTGACGGAAAAAGTAATTTGTTGATGCGTTACAAGTTACTTTTTTCAGTAATTAAATAACGTATAATAATGACAATATAAATTACTTTTCAAAGTGACTTACTTTCCCAACTACCTTAGCGCAACCTCAGCGTTTAGTTAGTTATATCATAGTCATAAAAAATTGCAACGTCCTTATCAAAATGTTATTATAAAATGTAATAGTAAAAATAAAGGTAGTAATTCTTTCATTCCCCCATTATTTTATTTTATGATTAGATTTAAGAGTGTTATCTAATAACTCTGTTTATTGA